CCAAATTCATTAAGTGAAGCGCATGTGGCAGTAGTTGAACGAATCCATTATACTTTAATGGGTGGGTTTTTTTGTTTTTTGCTAGAAACTGGAAGTAAATGCCCAAAATCACAGTCACATGACTGTATGTGGTACTGCAACTGGCCATAAATTGCAGGCTGGCTATGAAAGCACCCGAGATGCCATCACGTGACCCTGGATGGCCATTGGAGCTTTGAAACCGGTTTTAAGAGCCGTGCATGGTGACACAGTGGTTAGAATGCAGCATTGCAGGCAAACTCTGCCCATTGCCAGGAGTTCGATCCTGACCTGCTTAAGGTTGACTCCGCCTTCCATCTTTCCCAGGACAGTAAAACGAGAACCTAGATTATTGGGGGCAAATAGGGTGTAAACCGCTTAGAGAGGGCTGTAAAGCATTGTGAAGCGGTATATAAGTCTAAGTACTATTGCTATTGCTATTCCTTCCTTCCCTCTTTCCTTTTTCTTCCTTCCTTCCTTCCTTCCTTCCTTCCTTCCTTCCTTCCTTCCTTCCTTCCTTCCTTCCTTCCTTCTCCTTCCTTTCCTTTCCCTTTCTTCCTTCCTTCCTGCCTGCCTTCCTTCCTTCTCTCCTTTCTTCCCTCCTTCCTTTTCCTTCCTTCCTTCCTTTCCTTTTCTTTCCTTTCCTTTTCCTCCCTCCCTCCCTCCTTCCCTCCCTCCCTCCTTCCCTTCCTTCCTTCTTTCTCTCCTTCATTTTCCTTCCTTCCTTTCCCTCCCTGCCTCTCTTTCTTCCCTCCTTCCTTTTCCTTCCTTCCTTTCTTTCCTTTTCCTCCCTCCCTCCCTTCCTTCTTTCCCGCCTTCATTTTCCTTCCTTTTCCTCCCTCCCTCCCTTTCTTCCCTCCTTCCTTTTCCTTCCTTCCTTCCTTTCCTTTTCCTCCCTCCCTCCTTCCCTCCCTTCCTTCTTTCCCTCCTTCATTTTCCTTCCTTTTCCTCCCTCCCTCCTTTTCTTCCCTCCTTCCTTTTCCTTCCTTTCTTTCCTTTTCCTCCCTCCCTCCCTCCCTTCCTTGGTGGCGCAGTGGGTAGAATGCAGCACGGCAGACAAACTCTGCCTACAGCCAGGAGTTCGATCCTAACAAGGCTCAGGGTTGACTCAGCCTTCCATCCTTCCGAGGTCAGCAAAATGAGAACCCAGATTGTAGGGGGATCAAAATACTGACTCCGCAGACCACTTAGAGAGGGCTGTAAAGCACTGTGAAGCGGTATGTACATCTAAGTGCTGTTGCTAAGTAGCTCAAGGGAGGTCCTTTGTTGCTAAGCAATCAGTCATAAGACGAGGACTACCTTTACATGGACACCCAACTATTTCTCCTTTTTTCTGCTCCATCTGGTCTATCTGACGCAGCTTTCCACAAGTTTACGCAGCGCTTCCACGCCACCCCAGTTTCTTCTATTTGCACGTCCTGGAGAGGAGGCAAACATTTGTTGCACGGCCTCTTCACTTTGCACACCTACCAGTTGTTGGAGGGGAAGCTGGTGCACACTCACCCTTTCCACCCCACACTCTCCTTTGCCCAAAGTTGCGTTGCCTCCCGCCAATCTCCGTGGTTCTGTTTGCACAGCCAGTTCACAAACTACGTTAGAAACCCAATAGCATCACGTTACCCTAGATGATAAACTAGTTAGGTTTAGTTGGCATTAACCTCGGGGCTTTTGGGCAGCTTAGCAGCTTGTTGCAAACTCAGCCCATCCAAGGATTTACAAGCCAATCTACTAGATTAACCCAGGAAACGGATTCATTTAGTAACAAGATTAAGCATGTTGCAATCCCCGTGGACCTTATTATCACTTTGCCAAACAACTGATTTAATAGCTGGGCTGCTGTTATGGTATGTGCAGCACACACAGAACTTGTGAACTCTCCCCAGTGAGATGGGCGATGTAGACATTTAATAAGTAAGTAAATAAATAAACGTAGATGAAACTCCCTGCCACAAGATAGAGACAAACAGTCTTGGCTTATACGCTTTTTAAAAAAGATGATTGGCAAGGTTTAGGAAGCGGATGAAAAGAACATCTTTCTTTATTATTAACAATCAATGCCATATACAGATATTCCTTGACTTACAATCACAGCTGAACCCCCAATTTCCATCGCTAAGCAAGGCAATTGTTTAAATGAGTTGTGCCCCATTTTTTTGATTTGTTGTTTAAGTGAAGCGTGCAATTGTTAAATAATAATAATAACAATAATAATAATAAAGTTGAAAAGGACCTTGGAGGTCATCAACCCCCTGCTCAGGCAGGAAACCCTACACCATTTTGGACAAATGGCTGTCCAGTCTCTTCTTAAAAACTTCCAGTGTTGGAGCATTCACCGCTTCTGGAGGCAGGTTGTTCCACTGGTTAATTGTTCTCACTGTCAGGAAGTTTCTCCTTAGTTCTAGGTTGCTTCTCTCCTTGATTAGTTTTCATCCGTTGCTTCTTGTCCTGCCTTCAGGCGCTTTGGAGAATAGCTTGACTGCCTCTTCTTTATGGTCACCCCTGAGATATTGGAAGACTGATATCATGTCCCCCCTCATCCTTCTCTTCATTAAACTAAACATACCCAATTCCAACAACCGTTCCTTATGGGTTTTTATCTCCAGTCGCCTAATCATCTTTGTTGCTCTTCTCTGCACTCTTTCTAGAGTCTCAGCATCTTTTTTACATTGTGATGACCAAAACTGGATGCAGGATTCCAAGTGTGGCCTTACCAAGGCCTTTTAAAGTGGTAGTAACACTTTCCAACCCTTGTTTCTCGTGCTTCCCTGTAGAAGTTTTTGCTCAGAAGCTATCCTTTAGTCTATATCTGCTGCTAGGTAACATAATATATCAGCACTTTTTCCAGCCCTGAGCAACTTTCAGATGGGTGGACTTCAACGCCCAGAAATCCCCAGCCAGCATGGCTGACGTGGGAATTCTGGGAATTGAAGTCCAGACATCTGAAAGTTGCCCAGCTTGGAAAAAAAACACCCTGATCTAAAGTTATGACTTGCATATCCATTGTGTCAGCCTGTCCTTCAAGATGATTGCCCCCCCCCCCGTACCAGAGTTCACTTCAGAAAATTGAAGGGTACAATTTGATTTCCTTGCAAAATGTTTAGTATATTAAGAGGTTGAATGCTGCCCGGTTACTATGGGCTGGCCTTTGTCCTTAGCATTTATCCGCACCCATTTAACTTCCCAGAAATGCTAATTGCAGAGAAGGAATTCTTTGTTTGGCTGTCCTATATTTCTTTCTTATCCCTGGAGCATCGCTTCAGCAACACAACCCTCACGTGGGTTTCCTGCCTGAGCAGGGGGTTGGACTAGATGACCTCCAAGGTCCCTTCCAACTTTATTATTATCAATCATCGCACAGTCAGTCAGATGTTCAGACTGGATTTGGCATTTTGTCTACCTATCGAGTCCTTACCCAGGACCTGGGATAGGCAGATGTGGATGTTTGATGGTATTACAGGTATCGTCGCAGGATGGAAGCAGTTCCTAATAAGGCCGCCTTTTGTAATTGACTAATAGCGAATTTGTCAATGCCAATGGTGTTCAAGTGGTGCTCCAGTTGTTTTGGGATTGCACCCAAGGAGCCTATGACTATTGGTACTACCCTTGCTTGCTTTTGCCACAGTCTTTCTATTTCTATTTGTAGGTCTTTGTATTTTGTTATCTCTCCAGTTCTTTCTCTTCTATTCTGCTATCTCCAGGCACTGCCACATCCACTATCCAGACTTTTTTGTCTTTCTTATCGACAATTGTTAAGTCTGGGGTGTTATGTTGCAGGTGCTTGTCTGTTTGAATTCTGAAGTCCCAGAGCAGTTTAATTTTATTATTTTCTATATTATTATTATTATTATTATTATTATTATTATTATTACATTTTCATCCTTTTAAACAAAGACTTAAGGTAAAATCTCAGTTGTGGCTGTGGGTGCATGAATGATTTCCAAAGAACCCCAAATACAACAGGAATCATGAGAAATTATTATTATTAATAATAGTAGTAGTAGTAGTAGTAGTAGTAGTAGTAAAGTTGGAAGGGACCTTGGAGGTCATCTAGTCCAACCCCCTGCTCAGGCAGTAAACCCTATACCATTTCGGACATTTTTTTTTTTACAGAGAGATTTTATAAAAACAGCTCTTGCGCTCTCTCATCTCGATCTATCTATCTATCTATCTATCTATCTATCTATCTATCTATCTATCTATCTATCTATCTATCCATCCATCCATCCATCCATCCATCCATCCATCCATCCATCCATCTATCTATCTATCTATCTATCTATCTATCTATCTATCTATCTATCTATCTATCTATCATTTCATTAGTAATACAGAGTTTTTGTTAAAATGAGCATCCATAAATTTCTAAATAATTTTTGTGTGGAACTTTCTCCCATTTTCCTTCACATATGAATGTAAAGATGAATGTAGCTAATGTGCAAATAATTGCACATTAGCCTGGATACTTCACTTACAACACCTCCCTGGTTTCAACCCAAAGACAGTCTCCATTAAGCCTCTTTTTATAAGCCCACAATTCTTTCAACGCCCTCGGGCGGGCAAGGGCAAACCGCAAATAATAACAATAAAAAAGCCACAGAGGTTTCACTTTTCAGCAGCTTCTTTGACGACCCAGCTGTTTGTTGTTTTTCCCCTGCTTCTTATCACTTGCTACCAGTTGCTCGAAGGGAACAGGGGCAGGAAATTGAGATTGCCAAGGTGGCACCCCACGGTCCCACCAGATCTAACCACCGACACACAAAAAATGCCAAGCACGATGGAGTCCCCAGCCCAGGATTCTGGTACCAGGGCTCTTTACCAAAATTCCATTTTGTTTCTCTGGTTTTAAAAATGCTTTTTTTTTTTTTGCAATTTTCTAGCAAGGGGGAAAGAGATGGGGTTAGCTCAAAGCGGTGGAAACTTCAAGGGGAGCTGCAGAATGTAACCCTCCAGCTGTGTTAGGGGAAGAGTGAGGAATATCTTACCTGCAGTAGTATCTGGTTAGGAAACGTTGTTGTCTCTGCCAAGTTTATTGCCTAAGGAGGGTGTGCAGGGACAGTGATAGCAAAAGAGCAGTGTTGCACTTTATATACTCTGCAAAAAAAATCTCTGGGTCTGGAAGTCCTACTCCACCTCCTCCTCCTCCCATGCAGTGTGGAAAGTTTGCCTGATGTGGGCTTTTCCTGCAAAAGCTTCTTTCTGCCCCATTTTCTCCCTTTCTGCAGTTATTTTTCTTGCAAAACAACAGCACTAGCATGTCGATATGAAAGCACATAATACCCACAACTTGCAAAACAACAGCACTAGCACGTCGATATGAAAGCATATAACACCCACAGAGCCCGGCTACTCTCCAATTGCTTGCAAGTCTTTTGTTGAAAGTTCCAGGACTCAAAGTTGATCAACTGGGCTCAGATCAAGCTACAGAAAGAAGACGGTGCTGATTAGCCATGCCCTTGCACAGCAGGTCAAGAGATTAGAAGCAGAGGAGATGGTTCGGGGAAAACCCCAGATGTGCTGTTTATGGCGCTTGTAATGCTCTTTTTTCCCCCGTGGCACTTCAAGAGGGATATAAGCAACAACTTAGACTTATATACCAATTGACAGTGCTTTACTGCCCTCTCTGAGCGATGCACAGAATCAGATGCTGAAGGAAAAGTCTTCATCGTGGTTCAGTCCAAGCCGGGAATAAACAACATGACGACTGCTTTAGAAAGAAGGTGGCAGTTTGTTGCAGAGGAGACCCACCTTTCTGTCTGGCTCTCCTCTTCAATAAACTGCAAACGTCTTTCCTTTTCCTTCAACACAGCCTATTTGCCCCCCCAACAATCTGGGTCCTCATTTTACCGACCTCGGAAGGATGGAAGGCTGAGTCAACCTGGAGCCGGTCAGGATCGGACTTCTGACAGTGGGCAGAATCAGCCTGCAATATGAACCGCTGTGCCACTATGGCTCCTATTTATAGCAATAGCACTTATTAAACCTAACAATCTGGGTCCTCGTTTTAATGACCTCCGAAGGACGGAAGGCTGAGTCAACCTTGAGCCCGTCAGGATCGAACTCCAGGCTGTGGGCAGAGTTTGCCTGCAATACTGCATTCTAACCTCTGCGCTACCAGGGCTCAAGGAAGGAAGGAAGGAAGGAAGGAAGGAAGGAAGGAAGGAAGGAAGGAAGGAAGGAAGGAAGGAATAGCAATAGCACTTAGACTTATATACTATTGCCCCCAAGAATCTGGGTCCTCATTTCACTGACCTGGGAAGGACGAAAGGCTGAGTCAACCTTGAGCCAGTCAGAATCGAACTCCTGGCAGAGGGCAGAGTTTTGCTTGCAATATGGCACTCTAACCACTGCGCATCAGGGCTCCTTGAGCTGAATGAGGACAAGGATCTCTCTTTGGTTATCTCCCCAACTTCAACACATTGAGAAGGCTTCAGTTAAGAAAGAGGAACTGGTTGAAGGTAGAAGTGATCTGGGCTCTTCCTTAAACACGATTCCCTTTAAGCATTCCACCATATTATAAATAATGAATAGAATAGAGCTGGAACGGACCTTGGAGGTCTTCTAGTCCAGCCCCCTGCTCAAGCAGGGAGAACCTATACCATCTCAGACAGGTGACTGTCCAGTCTCTTCTTGAAAACCTCCAGCACACACAATTTCTGCTGGCAGGCTGTTCCACTGGTTAATTGTCATCTCTGTTAGGAAGTTTCTCCTTAATTCCAGATTGCTTCTTTCTTTGGTTAGTTTCCAATCATTGTTTCTCACCCTTCACCTCTGGTGCTTTGGAGAATAACGTGACCCCCTCCTCTTCTTTGTGGTAGCCCCTCAGATACTGGAATACTGCTATCATGTCTCCCCTGTTTCTTCTTTTCTTTAGACTGGCCAAACCCAAGTCCCGCAACTGTACTTCATATGTTTTAGTCTCCGAGCCTTTGATGATTACCTGTATGCAATTGACTTGGGAAAAACTTGAATGAGGTTCTTCACCTCAGCTTTGGCTCATATACGTAGACGACGCCTTCATAATCTGGCCACATGGGAAAGAAAAACTGGACAACTTCCTCACACACCTCAACAGCCTATACCCCAAAATACAGTTCACCATGGAAACAGAAGCTAATAACCAACTTCCCTTCCAGGATGTCTTAGTCTACAAGAAATCCAATGGCTCCCCAGGACACACCATCTACCAGAAGAAAACACACACAGACCGCTATCTGCACGCTCTCTCACACCACCACCCAGCACAGATCAACTCCGTAGACATTTACCTATGAAACAATTGGATAAGAGAGACAGGAGCCCTCAGTGGCTCAACAGTCAGAGGAAGAAACTTGGAAGGGTCAACCCTAATGGGTTAGACGGGTTAAAAGTGACAGCAGGAGATTTCTCCCTTCAGACCTGCAAGATTCGGTTAATGCAGTGGTTCTCAACCGTTTTAATGCCGCGACCCCCCAACCGGTCGTAAGTCGAGGACTACTCAACAGGTTGTAAGTCGAGGACTACTCAACTGGTGCAGCACTGTTTGCAGAATGGGACTTCTGGCGGGCTCAGCAGGGCAGAGACAGCCTGGACAATTCCTATTGGCTTTTGAAAGCCAATAGAGTTAGAGTCTATTCAAGAGAGTCTATTCTATTGGCTTTCAAAAGCCAATAGAATAAAAGGGAGGAGCACAGCTAAGGAAAAGGGGGGGGGGGAAATGGCGGACTGTGTTGTTTGGCGACCTCCGTGAAATGGTCGTTCGACCACAAATGGGGTCCCAACCCACAGGTTGAGAACCACTGGGTTAATGTAACCTTACAACAAAATAGAATTAGATCACCTGGTCATATTTACCTGGGAGGGCTGACCGAAGGAATCCATCCAAGCTTAAAAGGACGGCAAAAACAAACAACAGTTTGGAAGAGCCTAACTCAGAGACAGAAAGAGGGGAGGAACAATTTTAGTTGACGTTAACGTGAATAATTTGGGGTAGGGGGCTAGGTTGCTTATGCGGGTTTTGATAGATGAAATTATTTAAAGGTGAATAATTTGGGGTAGGGGGCTAAGTTGCTTATGTGGGTTTTGATAGATGAAATTATTTAAAGGTGAATAATTTGGGGTAGGGGGGTAGGTTGCTGGTGCGGGTTTTGATAGATGAAATTATTTAAAGGTGAATAATTTGGGGTAGGGGGCTAGGTTGCTTATGCGGGTTTTGATAGATGAAATTATTTAAAGGTGAATAATTTGGGATAGGGGGCTAGGTTGCTGATGCGGGTTTTGATAGATGAAATTATTTAAAGGTGAATAATTTGGGGTAGGGGGCTAAGTTGCTGATGCGGGTTTTGATAGATGAAATTATTTAAAGGTGAATAATTTGGGGTAGGGGGCTAGGTTGCTGGTGCGGGTTTTGATAGATGAAATTATTTAAAGGTGAATAATTTGGGGTAGGGGGCTAGGTTGCTTATGCGGGTTTTGATAGATGAAATTATTTAAAGGTGAATAATTTGGGGTAGGGGGCTAAGTTGCTGATGAGGGTTTTGATAAGTGAAATTATTTAAAGGTGAATAATTTGGGGTAGGGGGCTAGGTTGCTGGTGCGGGTTTTGATAGATGAAATTATTTAAAGGTGAATAATTTGGGGTAGGGGGCTAGGTTGCTTATGCGGGTTTTGATAGATGAAATTATTTAAAGGTGAATAATTTGGGGTAGGGGGCTAAGTTGCTGATGAGGGTTTTGATAGATGAAATTATTTAAAGGTGAATAATTTGGGGTAGGGGGCTAAGTTGCCGATGCGGGTTTTGATGACATTATCCTTGTGTGACCGTACATTCTGTTTAGGAATTCACCTGGGATATAAATAATTGCATGAATATTCACGCGCATTCTTATGAACCGTTTCGGAGGCCAGCTTTGGAGCATTTTTGCAATATTTCCCCCCATAGAAAATGTATCTGAGGTATCCAGATATTTGTCAAAATTTCACAGGGGGCTGAAACCGGCCTGAGGGTTATGGAGCATGCAAAACCAGGCAACGAACGTTCCCCAAGTCCCGTTAGGATTATTGTTTTATATCTTCGTACTGCAGAGATCAAAAGGAAAAGTCTAAAGAAGCATGGTAGAACACCTAAAGCAGCGGTTCTCAACCTGTGGGTCGGGACCCCATTTGGGATCGAACGACCATTTCACGGGGGTCACCAAACAACGCAGTCCACCATTTTTTCCCCCTTTTCCTTAGCTGTGCTACTCCCTTTTATTCTATTGGCTTCTGAAAGCCAATAGAATAGACTCTCTTGAATAGAATCTAATTCTATTGGCTTTCCAAAGCCAATAGGAATTGTCCAGGCTGTCTCTGCCCTGCTGAGCCCGCCAAAAGTCCCAGTCTGCAAACGGTGCTGCACCAGTTGAGTAGTCCTTGACTTACGACCGGTTGAGTAGTCCTCGACTTACGACTGGTTGAGGGGTCGTGGCATTAAAAAGGTTGAGAACCATTGCTCTACATTCTATTCTATTCTATTCTATTCTATTCTATTCTATTCTATTCTATTCTATTCTATTCTGGTCTGGTCTGGTCTGGTCTGGTCTAGTCTAGTCTAGTCTAGTCTACATTACTCTACATTCTATTCTATTCTAATCTGTTCTGTTCTATTCTAGTCTAGTCTAATCTATTCTACATTACATTACTCTACATTCTATTCTATTCTATTCTATTCTATTCTATTCTATTCTATTCTATTCTATTCTATTCTATTCTATTCTATTGTCTAGTCTAGTCTTTATACTATCCCAGTGATGGCGAACCTTTTAGAGACCAAGTGCCCAAACTGCAACCCAAAACCCACTTATTTATCGCCGGGTGCCAGTTGGGTGTGGCCCACTGGTTGGGTGTGGCTGTGGTCATGGCATACTTGGTGGGTGTGGTCACCTCAATGTTGCTCGTGGGGAGGGATGCCTGTGGGAGCTGGGCAGGGTTGGGGGAGATCCAGGGGGTCTCTGCCAGGTGGGGCAGTGGGCAGGAGGCTCATCCTGAGGGGTGAGGCGAGGCAAGGCGAGGCAGGGCGGGGGTGCCATTGTCGCAGGGCAAGG